ATCCTACCTGGGTTTTTCATTAAATCAAGAGCTGTCCCACTTGGCCACTAATCCAGAATCTGAAAAAAACCTCATCATGTTAATTAGAACACAGCCATATACTACAGCCCCAGTCACCACAACTCTCCCTCACACTCAGCTGGACTAATTCAGTCATGGTAGGCCCTTGCTATTTATTCTGTGGAAATGGCTTCCAACTCTTATAAAGAATGCCTTACAAAAGGACAAATTCAAACTACCATGTAAACTAGCCTGGATCATGCCATTTCTTCCCTCTAGATTAGACCTGTGAATCCAGTAACTACATCCAAGAAACGACTCTTGCTTTATTTTTCTTACTCTCCTGTTCTCCTTCTATCATACATCATACAATATACCAAAACAAATAGGCGTTGCTTTCTACTTTGGGCACTGCCCACGTGGTGGGGAACCCAGAGGGCAGATCACAACTAGAATTTAGTTACTGAGAGTGTCTATCAGCCCTGCAGCAAAGCTCAGGACATAGGTTGGATCATCTTTTTCTCAAGTGCAGCTCTTCATAAAACCACTCCTCACCAAAGCTTGACTATAGAATTATCCTCATGGAAGCATAAACTCAATGCTAGTTTTTGAAACCTGTTCTTTTAACAGACATTTGACAAAAAGCTTGGCAAAATGCTTATTTCTAAGTCCTGGTTAGCAGCCAGTACTTGAGCTTTGGACTAACACTTTAGTGTTAGAGCCATCTAGTGGGAAAAGAAACATGGACAGAGAAGCTGAGACAGGTTCTGCATCCGGATTTTTCATCCTATTCAGCTTTCTGGTGTGACCTCCAGACACTAGGGCAGAAGAAACAATGATTTGCCATGCCAGTATAGCAAACTAAAGAAAACATGACTCTGAGGGGTATTTTAGAAAAAGGGAAAGCATGCAAGCAGTCTGTGAAATTCATACAGCTGTTAAGGGTCCCAGTTATCAGGAAATCAGCCTGTGCCTGGACCAGTGGCTGAGGTAAAAGAGATAGTTTCAAAGAAGATAAAACCAGGAAGCACAGATTTTGGAATGATTTATAAGGATATGACCCTCCTTGGGTACTGGCTGTTCCAGATTGTTTGTTCACACTTATCCTGTGAACTCCATAGGGAAAGTGAAGCAGTAGGATGAAAGTCTTACACGAGTCTCTCCCATTTGGCTTAGGCCATTCCAATAGAGCTGTAGGATCAACACTTCTGGTTGAATTCTAGTTAGCGAATGATTTCTTGAACAGCCTGGGAAGATCATGCTAATATCCAGTCAGCGTTAACAAGTGCAAGAAAATGGATCCTAGGCCCTGGAGAGTTCTTAAGTCCATTAAGTTTCTGGTGCCAGAATCTGGCAATATGCCAAACACTCTCTGAAGGAGACAGTCTTGCAGCTTCCAGTGTTTCAAGTTCCTTACAACAGAAAGATTTGGTATATAAGCTAGGAACCAAGATAACATAACACCTCCCATAATATTTAAAAATAAATAAATAAATCCAATTTGTGCCTTATTCTTGTAAAAGGGAATTAATGGTTTCCCTCCTTCTAACAGGCTCTTAAGAAAAAGCAATTAGCTTTGCCCACAGAGGCAGAAGAGAGGATAAATAAGAGCTAAGAGAGGTGTTTCAGACAAACACAACTGATTAATAGTCTATCTCATGCTAGAGTTCAGAAAATCAGTGCACAGGCACACTTCAAATTATGTCTTTCTACCTCTATCAGCAGGACTGCGGTGCGGTCTCTAAAAGGTGTCCAACGTAGACCTAGTTGGCATACCTGCTCAAAGACACATGGACCACCCATTTCAACAATGATCAACTGAAGCCTGCAAAGCTAGATATAGAAAAAACAGACAATCTCTTCAATCACATTTTGACAATTAGCAAAGAATAGTGCTTCAATGTAAGTTAAGGCTGCCTTCCAGCATCTCTCCCATCATAAACCTATCCATCTACTTTTTTAGCACATCATAGCTGAAAGTTTTCTTCAAATTCTCAGGTAAAGCAGTATGAAAAAAGCAGGTGGTCAAATGCCACTGTCAATTACTGGAAATTCACTGTTATTATACAACATAGGAACTGCATTTGTAACCAAGTTTGCATGTTTTAATGTTAAGTATCTACATCTTAAAAGCAACACTGCCAATTTACAATTGCGGTTGACAACATAACCAAGCAACACATCACAGCTGCAGGTTAAGAGAAACAACACAACAGTGGGGTTCAAAACAAACAAAAACAAAACCCCCAAAACCCAGCAGTAAGACTAGCTTTCATGTACTGAAGAGGTATTGAAATATAGCTATTGTCTATTATGAAAAAAGGGAGGGAACCATCTTCTCCTGACAGCACAAGACTTATGACATAGCTGCTAATGTTTTAGCTAAATTAAACCTGGTAATAATAAGATGAAAGTCACGTTTTACTCAGAGAGATGTTTACATATTTGTTTTCCACATATCAATGATTTATTTGAAGTATCCCACTCAAAAGACAGCTATCTACTTTGTAGAAATGGGAACCAGACTAAAAAGCAGGTACAAAAATAGAACACTTATTTACAGTTAATTAAAAAATAAAATGGTAGCTGGTAATGTTGACAAAGCATTTTTCCACATCTCTTTCTGTTTTAAATCTATGGAGAAACAGAAAAGGATCTCTTACATGACAATATAAAAGTCTATTTAACATACAGCACCATAATCTGCAGGGTGGGGGTTTTTTTTGTTGTGGGTTTTTTTTTTTTTTTTAAGGTCTATTAATACTTTGCAAGCTACAGCATATAAAATGGGACAAAGGCAGGATATCTGACAGGTCAATCTTTTGATCCAACTTTGCATCAATATATGATTATACACAGAGACCGAGAATAACCAGAGAAAGTTATGGCTCAGTAGACAATTAGACATAAGTATTTCAAACGGGGATCTGCAGTGGATACATCTTAGTTCAGTGATCTTAAAGGAGGCTTAGATTTGGGAAAGAACTGTTCTGTCATATCCTCGATTTTGTTCTTCTCCACTGTAGCTGCAGATTTGTTCTCTTTATCTTTTTTGTGACTCCTTTTATGCTGGGATTTAAAGAAAACGCACAATTTAAGAGAATACAAATAAATTAAAGACTACTTGTTCATGTACAACGCAGTATATAGTGTTCTGAGGAAAAAAGTTAATAGAATACCTGAAAAAGGTTCCTAATATTGCATTTACTAAAGAGATTTATTGTAGATATCTGGAAGTTCAGCAGCTACTTTTAAGGAATCCATGACAAGTGAATACACCACTCCCCCAAACCCAAGCTTATTATAACCAGGGGTTTACAGTGACACATTGGTAGAGCAAGAGTGTCAAAAGGAAGGAAGTAAAAAAAAAAATAAATCAGTGAAGGATCAAGAATGCTAATATTTCTGTCTAGCCTTGAAGAAAATACCCCACATCTAATTTCAACTTTTCCATTAACACGTGTGTTTATGTCTAGTAAATTATGACAATTTTTTTCACACAGGATTATTTACTGAGGAGTTTTCTGTCTGTCCAGCTTGTCAGAAATTTGCATTATTTTATCTGCTGTTACCAGAATCTGCTGTTATTTTAGCTCAAGTTTAACAAAGTTTCTCCAGTATTTAGAGAAGTTGTGAGGCTAAACTAAACGATAGTAGGTAACTTTAGGCTACAGCATAATTATGGAACAATAATTTTCCTTCACTCTTAAATACATTGCTGTTTGGAGTATCTGCGGACGTTACCTGGAAAAAGGGAATACCACCGTTTGCATGGCAGCCTATGTTTGTATCCACTAAGGATTTGTCACTAGCGAGGCTTTCACTGGATTCTTGTAACCCTTCTTCCTCTTCCAACAGGTCCTAAAACAGAAGTTTTCAGAAAAGCATATTTAATGTTTGAACTTCCTAGGTGAATGTACTAAACATGATCAGATCTATAAGAGACATGGCACTTCCATTTTTGAAAAACAGAAATGAAAGTCTCTAAATTATTAATATCTTGAAAAATAAGAGAAGACATTGTTTTTGTCAAAAACTCAGCACACATGACTCCAAGTACCCTGCAAAACAACAAAGGCTGCAAACTGCTCTAGGGTTCTAGTCAACTCTCCACAATGGCACGAAAAAACTCCAGTGAAGATTTCACATCTTCAGAAGAGCCTCATTTGCCATTCATACACATACCTGATCTGCATTATCCTCCACCACCTCCTTTGTTTCACTGTTTAGCACAGCATCAAGCTTTGGTTGTTTTTGTCTTAATTGCTCCAGCAGTTGTTCCCGGGGTTCTGTTCTCACAAGTGTGACTGGATAGCAGTAGTCTCTTCTCTGTGGAGTTGTACCTTTAATGAAGATTGCACATTAATGAAAGTCACTATTAAACACTTTCAGCATTTGCTTTTAATTAACGGTCCTCAGTTTTATATTAACTCAATGTAGAAGTCATGCTTTGTTCATTCATTATTTGCATTCACCTTAAAAAAGGTGTAAGGCTGCTAGTTATATCATGTCCTCATTAACCTTTACTTACAAATTCTGAAATTGAAATTGCTTTCTGTAAGACCATTCTGTCCCCAGCCTCCTTTAAATACCTGTTGGAATATCCACTTTAAGATCTTCTTGCAGGAAACCATTAACCTGAGTCAGTCCATGCTGTGCTTCCTCATTAAGTGCCAGCTTCTGCTCCAGAAGTATCTCCTGATCAACCTTTACCTTATCAAGAAGGCCATTTAGTACCTTCTCCTCAGCAGCCTTTTGTCTACTAATATGGTCAACAATTTCAGCTATAGCTTTGTCACAGTTTTCTTCATTTTTCTGAAAACAAAACAAAAAAACACACCCAAGCAAAAACACCAAGTTAACAGGAAAGGTAAGGTTATGGCCTCTTTTCTAAGATGTGGTGCATGATTAGTGACATGACCTGAAACGAAACAACTGAGAGACCTCAAATTGAGAAGTTTCAGTGCCAGTTTTACACTCTCATTTTGAGAACTATCTTCAGAAGAGAGTCACTTTCTTAGAAAGTATGATCATTTTAGAAAGCTACTCATAAGAATAAAGATGATGCCATCTGGTTCAAATCAGACTCCTCATGCTGCTTATGCACAATCCTGCACAGAATTAGGATATTTGAGTGCAAGTAAAAATCCCACAAGCACTAGAAGCTTGTAGG